CTGGTTTATTTTTTAGTTTATTTAGCCTGGGGATAATTGCAGCATCCTTGTCATGTGTTCTGGTTTAGATTACTGCCACGCAGTTACAAGTGAGTATCTATCTTCATATCTACCTTCGTATCTTTCTCTACGAAGTTCACATGTGAATGCAAACAAGAAAACCAGGGAAAATAATTTCTTTGTAGAAAACGTATTGCTAATCACAGCTTTTGCACACACGTGTTAACTTAATGACATCGACGGCAGACTCGCTGGTCTGTGCTTACAGGTTCAGGCCACTCTGCCACAACATAAGGCAACCGCGTCACTACACCCAGCTACGACGAGCTGACACAGAACTTTGGGTAACCAAAGTAGAAGAATTAAGTTACCAAAGTAGAACAAAATGCATCTGTCACTCCGATGAGCAGATCTAACATCAAAGACATTTTTTGAAAATGTAGATAAAGTGTAATAATAATTTTCACCATTTTTAATGACTGAAAGTTTGTCAGCAGTTAGATGATATAACCTCCTTCAGTAACTTATAAATGCCTGACATATATGAAAAGCCCCCTCAAAGTTTTTTTGTGGGGTTTTTTTTGTTTGTTGTTTTTATTTCCCCCTAGATGCTCATCACATCTCGCTATTTCAATGGCAACAACACCTAAATGTGCAAAATCAAAATTGTCATTCAATGTCTTCCTTGTTCAAAATACGCAGGACTTTAATTCTTCAAAGGAGGAACTAGAAGGAAGCATTATTCCTTTCATGCATGAAAAAACCCCAACAAAAGACAAGTGTTCCACTTGGTGTCAAAATCTCTGAAATGACAATAATGAATTTCAATCGACCTGCAACGTATCTCCATACCTGATGATTTTGCCATCATTTTACGAGGTGAAAACCAGAGACAGGTTAGTTAACTTGCCCATGTGAAGCTGCACTTACCCACTGCACTTCCAAGATGATCACTCTGCGGCACGGCAAGACCTGCTGTCCAGCCCCACTGCGTCCACGCACCCCACCTGACCCTGGGGCACGCCAGACACCAGTACCAGGCTAACCCGACTGCTCCTACTCTTCCCTGAAATAGCCTTGGCACGGTCTGCTGCAAGGACAGATGGCACGTGCAGACAGCCTTAGTGCAGACTGCATGAGACACACACGGAGCTGGATCTTGCTCCAGACCTGGCAGCAGGAGGGACATGCCAGATGAACAAGCCCGACTCATTTCCAACTGGACCGTCTCTTAAGTGACTCAGGATGAAGACCATCTCATAACCAGACAGGACTGTCTGAAGCACAGCCAGCCATGCCACGGCCAAGGGGCAGAAGTGCAATTCGAGAGGTTCTAGAGAACTTAAATTACGTCTTGCCAACCTAAGACCAGATTTCTTTGTGGATGCTGCCCAAGATACACTAAAGCTTCTTGGCTTTCAGATCCAAAGCTTGATGGCTCTTCTGTTATTGCTGAGAGAATGACAGATAATTTTTGAAAATATAAGAGATGAAAGTTCATTAGAAGGGAGAGACAGAATTCACAAGCATTGTTTGCCTCATTCCACTGCAGTAACAAAGTGAAACATCTAAGTCGCTGTTGGCGACAGTAGGATGGAACACGTGTAACGCTATATTCAATAACCTGCAACTGACCTATGGCGTTCCAGAACATCTTTCAAGGATCATGAAGATCAAAGGGAATTATTCTGTGATAGATCAGTAAAGATGCATTTCAACTGAAGAACTGAGTGAAAACATCTGCCTTTTGACTATGGCCTGCTAATGCACAGAAGGTACCCTCCGAGTGGAACAGAGGGTGAGATGATCTCATGTCTGGGACTTGAAGCCAGCAACAGAAACAAAACCTCTTTACCAAGAAAAAAGATACATTTCTTCCTAAGATAAGCTGCTTATCTGATTATGTAAAGTAATACAGAGAGTACAAAGTCCAAAGTCTACAGTTGAAGAGCTGAACTTTTAACTTAAACACTGGCATAACTTAAGAGATTTTTTCAACTAAGAAAACAAACAAATTCGTTGTCTCACAAGCCTGATGCAAGTAAGCCCAACTGTACCCATTTCACAGATTATTTTTTATTTTTAAATAGAAATCAGTAAGTTACTCATCCAAAGGTTTAAAAAAACCTGTATGTCAGTGCTGGAATTGCATGGTCATTTTTAAGTTTGCAGAATACTGCTCTATACTCAGACATTAAATAGTTCTTCTCTTCTACATAACTCCGGGCCAGCTGTGAGAAATAACTTACAAGCAAACAAGCCCATGTTTTTAGAAACCTTTCTTTAAAGACAGACCATCACTTACAATCACTGGAACAAGCAACAACAGACTTGAGTTCCTGGACGTGAAACTTGTGCTTGGCTCACAGGCCAATGGCGTTCAGCTGTGTTTTGTAACAGACGTTCTAGAACTCAAGTCAATCTAATTCTTACTGTTGTAGCATCAAGTTCTGGAGCATCTTTTCAAGAAGTGCCTGGCTTATCATCACGTTATTACTGCAAGAGTGCTGCCTCGATGCCTTCAGATGGGTAAGAAAATTGAAGTGCTATGGACCCAGGCTCACGTTTGCAATATTAGGCAGACTTAAAGTGAGAAAGATAAGATACTCAGTAGGAAAATGAGCACTGAGCTATGTTCTACTCTTTCTTAAGAATTTATTAATAGATAGTTGTCTAATATTTCTGGAAAACCTACATCCAAGTGGTACATATTTTGATACTAATGGAAAACATCTTCAGAAATGGCTCTTTCACATCTAGCATTGTTTTCAGAGGGTTATATTATGCAATGCTTTATATATAGTAACTTGCTGACTTTGCTCAGACAGTTTAGTGTCTGCTTCTCTGTTGCCAGCTGAAATGACTTTCAAAGCAAAATAAGGAATATGAATTAATATGAAACTAATAGAGGACTATACCAGAGGTGATGGTCAAATTGATAACCAAAAGAATACAGTTTAAAGACCGATAAACAGCTAATCAATGACTAAAAATGCTAAGGGTATGAAATACCAACAAATTTCTTTTCAACTTTTATCATAGGAGATTATTTGTCTTTTTGTGTATTATACCCTAGTTAACATGAACTTAATTGTACCTTTAAAATACTTGTCTTCCTTATTACCTGTTACTTAGTAAGAGGTGACTGTTTTGTCAGCGTCTAGCGTGACGTAAACCCAGCAAAACAGAACACAGTGATGAGGAGGGTGTGCTCAAAGACAGTGGCTGACTTTCTCAAGGCTGCAAGAAGCTATTGTTCCTTGGCAAATCCAGGCCAGACTCTAGAGAGAGCTAAGAAAAAACTTATCCAGGACCCACACAGTAACTGTGCTGTACCAAGGGCTATACAGCCTTGTGCACAAAGCCGTTAAATAAAGTTTTAGAAATATTGTGAGTCAGTCATTGACTTCAATTTCCTAAAGGCAAAATCCCGGTTAGATTTCAGAAAAACATACAGTCACTAGAAGGACCACAGTTATGACAGAAAAAAACCTCAAATCGTACAGAGATCTCTTAAGAGAAGGAAGGAAAAAAATGAAGCTTTAGTCTTCGTGATTCTGTTAGCAGTGTCAAGAACCTCCAAAGAACTAATTCTAAGGCTCATTCCAAGTTCAGCCTGGAGGAAACTGTGCATGGTCATCACCAAACAAGAGGTAAGATAAACCCATGTTTAAAAATTATGTCAGCTTTTCCAATTCCAAGGGTTTTAATACGAAACAGCGAAGAAAAACATTCTTAAAATCAGGAAAAATACCTGGACAAGTGTCCTTTTAAGGTGCCTGATGACTGGCTCACTCTCCAAAGATCCTACAGTGGGGTCCAATATCATGCGAACTACATGGTGGAGAAGCTGTTGCTACTCCCAGGTACATCACACAAAAGGACCTGAGAACAACAGCCCAGGTCAGTGCAGCATCTTTGGTAGTTGCTGGAAGAGAGTTCCTCCTTCCCATGCTTGCTCCTCTATGGTACGTCAGTGTGAAACACACACAGCTAAGGATGCCTCCTAAGGCAGAACAAAAACCTCAATCTACCAGCCTCCACAAGGCAATCAAAAGTCACTCTGAGTATCCAGCAGACTCTCTGGGAGTAAAGAGGTAGAACTAGGACTGGCAAAGTCTACAGCAAGACTAACGACCGAGACAGAAGCTAGTTCATGTCAGGCTCTGAAGATGTCTTTTGTATAGAAAGAAACCAACGAGCAACATGGATTGGTTTTCCCTACCAAGGGAAGAAAGTTAACAGTCCGTGAGAAGGTGTGCCAGGGAAATGATCCTGGCTGGACTTCCAGTGTTCCTGCCTCCACCTGCTGGCGAGGAGAAACACTGCTGCTGACAACTGCTGCTACAAAGATCATTCACGCTCTCTTAGCGATGAATGTTTACAAGTGGCACCAGTGACCCACATTACCACGTTGTGGCAGCAATAAACAGTGTAAATAAACAGCTCTACAGTACTCCCCATACAGGAGAATCCACCTCGCAAAATCTGACACCTGCAGTTTATAACCCAGGCAGTTGTTAAATTCCAGATAGTTACTGATATCTCTTTAACCAAGATGATAACGAACACACACAGCAAGAATCCATACGTTAAACAAAATAAAAAGGTATCTATTTTTCTACACACGCTAATTACCTGGTAAATGACATCTTGAAAAAGAACTGGAAAAGTGAGTGCAGCATCTTCTAATTCGTTTAGACTACAGTGCACTAATGTTTCATCCTATTAAAAAAATAAAAGATGGTATAAAAGAAAGAAAAGATTGTGAAAAGAATGCTGAAAATAGAAGTAGTTTTCTGGAGTTCTATGCTCATTTTAAGGTAGGTTTATTTAGTCTGGAAAATTTATTTTTGTGCAACTGCTGTCGAGATTGAAGAATAACTCTTAGAATGAACTATACATTTCATTATTCTTGCAGTTTTTTTAAAAAAAATCACTTAGAATTGTGTGCTGGGGCATAATTAGAAGATATTTAAATTTTGTGGGCTATCCTATCATTCAGTTCAAATCTGATTCTGCCAGTTTTAATAATCTGCCCATTCATATGACCACTAGAAGACATGCCAACTGATACTGCTCAGGATAAAATAATGTTCCTGACACCATTAACAGGGTCTGAAACAACTTTCAAAACAGAGAGACCAAAATAAATTATTATAAAGACAAATATATTTTCTATGATTATTTTTAAAAGTGGATTTGTGCCCTCTAAGAATAAGAATGTTCTAAGAATTAAAAGATTCATTCTTGATCAGTCTTGATGCAAGACACAGGAAGCTGAATTTTCCTATTTATTACATCTCATTTTTTTCCACACTGGGTTTAGGAAAGCTTTATGAGAACAGATAACTCTTTGTTTGAGACAATAAAAATCGTAATGCTTTTTTTTTTTTCAACAGGATGTTAATTATTCAACAAATACAGCAAGCATTCTGGTCTTGCCACTATTAATTTTTTTTAATGCAGACTATAACACAAATACTACAAATTGTGTAACGCTCAACTTTTTGTTTAAAGTGAACATTGCTAATTTCAGCAACAAACAAAATAAATGAAATGCTACACACCCCCTGCTTTCAGTATGTGTTTATAAAGATATTTACCAAGTCTAGAACTAATGAGAATTCTGGTGTGCTTCTTGTTTTCAGTGGAAGAGCTGGCTTCCTGTTAAGTTGTTCTTCTGTTAGTGGCGGAACATGTTTGATGAAATAATATCTGAAAAGAATACAGAATTTGCTGTAGAAATGTATATACGTTATCTAACCAGTAATGTAGCCCAACTTAATATTTAAAATAATTAAGGCTGCACAAGAAATGAGTGTCTTAAATTGAAAAAAACCCCACATCAATACACACTTATTATTTTAAGTCAAGAGCTTTTGGAATTCATTACCATAATATAAAAATGTTCCAGCTAAAAAAAAGCCAAACCACCCTGTCTTAATCCAACACCCAAAGTGATCCATTTAGTATTTTCAGTACAAACATTAGCACTTACGGATCAAAGACTTCCCAGTCTTCTTCATAGGTGGCTTCTGCATGAGCTGATGAATAGCCACTGTCTGGAGATACTGGTGCTAAAATTCAACGAAAATGACCAAAACAAAAAATAAAACAAAAAACCACAAGAGCTAGTCTTATTAGTGCAGTTTTTAAAAGTGAAAATTTCCACTTGACACACGAGCACCTCAAACAGGGAAAAAAACTCTTTTTCCTTCAGCCCCACCCTCTCAGGCCCCACGTCTCCTCTGAAATAGCCTGCACAGCTCCTCGGGATGCTACCCGAGAGCTTGATGCCACGTCATGCTACTGAACTTCACAACCTGGCCAAACTGGCAGTGCCCTTGTGACACAAGGCACCCGTAGCACCGCTCATGATGGGAACTACCTGGATGCACACTCCAGCCCACGAAGCTCACACAGCCCTTCCAGCCTGCAGCTCATCTCATCTCTGAAGGCCCCTCGCAAACAAGGCCACAGACCAGATCAGAAGGTCTGGACGGGACCCGTGGATCACACTTAGAGGTTAAATTTACTTCCTTGAAAGGCGTCCTCAAAAACCTCAGCACTACTTAAGTGAGGGTCTAGGGAGGATTTAGATAACTGTTAAGAATTTGATCCCCCCCAGCCACAAAGAAGAGAAGCTGAATTTTACAGATACAATTTTTGTCAAGAAACATATATGAAAAGTCTTTTGAAGAAAATTAATGTAGGATCTATAATGCTTCTCATTCCCCTCACTATGATGTTCTAATAGAACATATTAAAACAGGGTTCAATGTTAATAAAAATGCCTTTCTTCTGGCACCTTCATTTTCATTTGAAGAAACGTTATGAGGTCAACGGAGTTATACTGGGAATAGATAAGACTTGCCAAAACTGTGTCTCTAGTGCACAGAGAGATCTGTCTATTAAACACAAAAATCAAGATTAAAACTGTTTGCATGCCCTAAGCAAATGTGAAATATTAATTGACACAAAATGCAGGTGCTAGGACTTCCCCAAGAGTACAAATCACATACAGCTTCGGTACTTGAGTCCAAGGCAAGCACAGGATTCTTACCTGTGAGTGGTGGCAGGTCACGGTCATTGGTTTCCTCCACTTCTTCCAAACCGTTGTTGACAGCAGATCTGACCTGCACTGCTTGGCTAGCGTAAGCTGCTCCGTTGGTTGATGTTGCAGTACTCGTAGTAATCTCATCTACCTGTTCCATATCAAGCTGTTTGACTATTTCTTCAGCTTCAACAGCTTGTCCTGGAGAATCCGATCCTGATGTTCCTGAATTAAGATTTCAGTACACTCATTATCTTTAAGCTGAGTTACCTATCAGAATACTGATAGTCATTACTAACCGCACAAAAAAAAGTTTCAGGATCCTTGAAGATACCTGCATTTGAATCATGTTACATAAATAACCAAAATGAACATGACAAATGCCTTTTATGTTTGGGATGAGGAACTTAATACCAATTTTTTCTTTTCTTTTTTTCTTTTAAACAAAAGGCACACCGCTAGATACTTACTTACACCTGTGAAAGAAATATCCTAACGCATACAAACTTACCGCTTCTGTTATTAATGATCAACCCTTCTAAGAATTAAGCAGCCCTTTATCTGGTAGTAGTAATTCTTGGTCCGTAAATCAGAATGAAAAGTGTACTGCCACTCAAAACAGGTTTTTCTTTAAAAAAAAAAATTATCATTTTTAGCTTTGACACTATTGGCTTTTAAAATAATACTCACCATTTTTATTTGCTGGTGAAAAAAAATTGAAAACAGGAGAAAATATGGTTCCCAGTAATGTAGTTCGTGGAGGACTGCCAGTGGAAGGGTTATCTTCTAATTTTCCATTTTGCTTTACATGTTGGTTTGTCATTTCGTAACTTCCAGCTTCTGTAAAAGAAAAGTTATGAAGTATGATACCACGCTTCTGTCTGCCACAGTTACATCCTCTCTTTTACTGTTGTTATTTTTACTACAGGAAAGATCCCTCTTGCTCATGGTTCAACTTGGTCGACAAAAAAAAAGAGCTAGCAATTTAGTATCAATAGAAAAACGAAATTATAATTTTCAACACCATCTTAAGTTTAACACTACAAGCTAGGAAGTATTGATTGTTTATATGAAGTATGCTATAGGTTAACAAATAACAGAAGTTTAAATCCTTTAAATGGGCTTGATGATGGAAGATGGACTTGAAGATGCTGCGCACCTTTCACAAGAAATAGATGTCAGTATCAGCAGGACTCCACTAGATGGAAACAAGAGAAAGGGTCAGTGGAACTCCAATGGCTGAACCTCCAAACTTCACAAGATCAAGTCCATAATTTATTATTCTCCACATATATACATGCATGTATAGGCTTAAATACAATTATGAAGTAAAATAATTTGTAGTTGTTATCACAGATAACAAAGGACATAGAGTTAAATAATCTTCACATTACAATGCATAACACAACATGTAACAATTAAGGTTTTCTATAAATGTGCATGTGCAGTAAAGTACATCCTAGAACTATAAATTGCCATCTCATGGCTGAGATCCAAGACGCAGTTCTGAGACTGAAATGAAAGAGAAGTTATTTACTTCACAGAAACAGGTCTTTGAGACGTCTGTCCATATGGAAGTAAGCAAATGTATTTTGTGCACATGAGCTGAGAACCTTTTTGTCAGCTGAGGCTGATGGAGCTGCACAAGTACTTCACACTTCCTATCGTTTCTATATAAAACGTAGGGTGTGCCAGCTGCACCTCAGTGCCTCCACTAATATGGAGCATTTTAACCAAGAACATCACAGCGCCGTAACAGTAACATGGGCTCAGCGTGCTCTGTGTGCTGTCTCAGAAAACGCTTGATTTACACCAGCAGTTCCTCTTTCACCTTTGAGCACCGTCTGCATCCACCACACTGGGAGTGGGTGCATATCTGTTGTCTCTCCAGGAGGCAAAAACCTTAATTAACGGTAGCAAATACTGGCAAAAGGGCTTTCTCCTAAAGCCACGTTACACAGACATCTGACAACCACCAAACAGAAAATTCTCTCACATTGTAACCTGTCCATCAGTGAAGTCACTCATTTGGAGCTTTATACTTAGCTACCGATTTTGCAAACCTGGTTGGACTGTGAAATCTTTGAGACCCCTGCCTTGCTGACAAACTTGGCAGAAACCGGAGAATGGATTCCCAAGTTAGGGGGGAATGGAGAATGAAGGAACACCAACAGGCAGCACAATCACATTAAGTCTTGTTTCCTCAGAAAAGAAATCTAAAAAATGTTTTTTTAAAGTCAGATTTGGAACCACAGTTGATACCTTAAATGGCATTGACCGTTTTATCGTGTCATTATTAGAGATATTCAAAAAGAAACAATTTTCACAGGGAACAGGGTTGTGGAATCTCCATCCATAGAGACAGTCAAAACTTGACTGGCCAAGGCTCTGAGCAGCCTGGTCTAACTCCAAAGCCAGATCTCGCGTCAAGGTAGATCAACACTGCTGCGAGGGGAGCAGGGGGACTGGCCCAGATGACCTTCGGAGGTCCCTTCCGACCCAAATTTTCCTATGATTCTATGACAGAAACCCATCTATGTGTTTGACAAGTGCTTTCAATATCTAAGGACACCTGGTTACTTCCACAAAGGTCATGAGTTGGGAAGTAATAGTCCACTTTTTTTGTGAGAAAATGGGAGAAGAGGTAAATAAAATAATTATCATTGACTTTTTAGAATAAGTTTTTTTTTAAAGTTAAATTAATTCCAAAATAGCTGGTCACGATCACATGTCCAAATTGCTCTTACAAAGATACAGTGGATGTGTCTGAGAAGTAGTGTAACTGTCTTAGAAATCTTATTTTGCTATTAGCTCAGCCTAGCTCTCACTGAAGTCACTCACAAAACCCTTAACCTCCACCACTGAAGAAATGTCCTGTATTCGTTAACAGCTGTAAGACTACTGAATCACCACCCAATGGCAACAACGTACGATTAGAATATTTACAAACCTCCATTCATTTGACTTTTCCGTCGTACTCGAGAGATCTGTTTATTAGGCTTTTCTCCTGTTTGAGGTGTAGATGTAATCAAGTTGTTATCTATATCCCGTTCAATTCTACTTCTTTTTGCAGGATTTTCTCTTTCTTCCTTAAAATAGAAAAGGGGGAAAAAGGAAACGTAGTGAATAGTGCCTCTTTTCTCCACTGAATACTACCAGAAACTGTGAGCTGTTAGTTTCACAAAAGATCCATTTATTGTTCCACTTCCAGATGCAGAATATGCAACGTGTATCTGGCCAGCTGGAATTTTAAACTCATTTAAACCGATGCAACTCAAGGTAAACAGCAAAGTATTGGGAAAGAAAACTGTATTTGGAACTTCTGTAGTAGAAAATTTGCTTTTAAGTACTATTTCACTGGATAGCCAATTTATGAATATTTAAGTGCTGTGTAGTTGGGGAAATACAAGGCAACTAAAATTATCTGAAACTTGATTTGGCTGCCTGTTAAATATCCAAGAAGTAAACTGCACAGCAATATCCAGTATGAAATTCCCCACCACGCTCCCTACACAAAGCGGCTTGCTAAACTGTATACAGGTATATAACGTGCTGCTAACCAATGCGTATCAGAGAGTACCTGGCAAAACTTAGCTGTTACAAATATTGTAAGCCAGGGTACGTCCCGGTGATTCTTCTTATCTTTAAGTAAATGACTGTTCTTCCCTGTGGCACTTACAGGAATGATATAGAACCAAAGATTTTTGCAGTGTATGTGTAGGCACACATGTTTAAGACAGATTTCTTCCCCTTTTTCCCCAAAGCACCTACTACAGCTTAATAAAGTGGCAATCTGAAATCTAAAGCGTGACCATAGAGAGTACACTGAAATGTAAGGTGTGAGACGCTGCAAAATAAACCAGATTAAACAGGAAAATAAATAACAAGGCCACAGACCATATCAAAGTTAATTAAAATTTCAATTTTAGAATTACAATATTACCTTTCTGGAGCAGCAGTTTCACATCTTTAAAAAGAAAACACAGTTTGCGTGCTCCAAAAAAAAAGTATATAGATCTTTTAGAAAAATTAATCTAAAGCCCATGCTAACAGTTGTACAGTAGCTAAAAGAAATACTAACAAACGTGGAAATGTATTGACATCCATATCAGAAGACAAGTGAGCACACCTGATCCCAAAAGCTCCCTACTGGCAACATCCTTGACCAACAACCTTGGTGAGAACAATCTAATTACTACCACTTAGAATTAATAATACCATATATACCATAAATCCGTACAATGAGAGAGAACGGATGGCTCACTGAACTGACAAAAGAACAGTAAGGCATCTCATCTTCTAGATAATTTGTTCAAATGTTCAACACTGGGGAAAAAATGGGAGAAATTAATTAACTTCTAAAAGCTATCCATTGGTCTTCATAAAAATGAGTTGTGCTCTCATTCTACTTTATGGAAAACAAGTGTAGAAGCATTACAAAAACCACAACGCAAACAGGAAATCTGACTGATGGTAGCAGCAGAGGCATAAAGAATTCACTAAATCTGGAGATCCCTTTTATCCTCCAGAAGAGGAGCTGTCATGATGTGGTGGGAAAGCTCACACCACTGTGCCCATGTTGTCCTAGTTTATAGAATTCAGAGGTGAAATTAGATATAAATGTTATTGTGCTATTTGGTTTGGACACTGAAAATTGTATTGCACAGACATAGAATGAAGTGGACCCATTATACGGATTTATATAACAATCTATTTGAATTCTGTGATCAATTCAATATAACCTATTATTACCAATAATTGTGCCATAAGGAACATTGGCCGTGTCACACCGACACAAACATTTTGTTTGCTTTCAGGTTGTTTTCAGAAACCATGTATGTATTAAGGAATGGCCTAACCTCAGACTAGGAGTCATGACAACACACTCAAAGTCAACGCAACTCCTGACAGTGCTGGAACCCCCAAAATCGAACAAGTTTAGAGTAACTTGCAACAGCAACTTCTACAGTATTTCCAATGATAACATGTAAAAATTTTAATAGTACTTCCTGTACGCATACATGTATCAGTTTTTCTGGTACGTCGGATTTGTCATTTTGTAAATACAGATTCTGTTGTGCACTGCATGCTACTGCTGGCTTGCATGGGGGCCACGAGTCAGCAGCAGAAGACCTCAAGATCAGACCTATCACCATCCACATTCGAAGAGCCACATTTCTTTCAGTCTCTGGTTTCTCTAACTAAACAGCTGTAAGTTTTTTTCAGGTTTTGTTTGTTTAAGCAGTATTTCTAGTAAGCCGTCCTTACAACACCAGACAAATGACCTGTGACTACGATCAAAATTGCCAGGATACACTTGTTACGCAGACACGTTTTGCCATCAATCCATACAACCTTAGTGGCCATGCGGATTTTAGCACACCCATAAACGAACTGCTACACAAGTTGTACACATACACTATCTCAAAGAGTTACAACGTTTCCATGGCAGCCACGGACTACTTTGTTAAGTCATTAGCGCTTTGGAAGATAGCCCGGCAGTATCAATATCATGCCATGCCAATGCCACTGGAACCACTCCAAGTCCTGCTACAGGCACAGGAGAGGACATGAAAGGAAATGGGAGACAAATGTGGACATTTCATATTAAAAAACCTGTCAAGAAAACAAAGAATGAAATGTAATCCAAAGATTTGGGAGAGGGAGAGAAGAGGGGAAGAGAGAAAGTTAAGAAAACCTTAAAGAGACAAAGGAAAGGAAAACCAGACATATTTCCCTTATCTTAACACTCCAGCGTAACATGTTTTGCTTAGATTTCAGCATTTTGTTGCAGGGGTTTTGCAGCCAAAATGTTGCACTACTGAGCTACAACATAGACGCTGAATGTAAAACAGATTAATTGTCCCGGTTTAATGAAAACCAAAATGTAAGCGGATTTAACCATTTACTTTTACTGAAACATTTGTCAGCACCTCAATGTTTCTATGAGAGGTAATTAACACACGCCATGAAATATTAAATTACACTACGTTTTTGACAATTTAAGAATAGACTGTTACTTTAATTAGAATGATTTCAACTTCAGCTTGTTAGAAAATTATCAATGCTTAGTTCAAATCTCAGAAAATACTTCTGAATTTATATCATATTTTTATTTATAATATAGTTAATCTGGGGTACATTTAGTTATGACTTCCTGGCGACTCTTCTTTAAAATTTACAGCTACATAATGTCAGTATTTGGACCGCTGGGACTGAATGTTTTTTTTTTTTTAACTGTCCTCCCCTTACAGAAAAAACCTACAGGCTTTTGAAGCAATTGCAAGGTTATATTCAGCCTATCAAAGTTTTGTATAGAGATATATATAATTCACCCTCTAAACTTACATGCAATGGGTTTTACCATGTGAAGATTAGTAGAGTTCAGATTTCTGCCTGGATGCAGACAGGTGATATTCAGTGGTTTAGCCCAAACAATGCTTGAATTTGATCCACTACACAGGGGCAATGTTCACTGCAATAATACACTGAGTAGTCGTATCAATTTAATTTCAATTAACAATCATTTTAAGGAAGAAATTCTTTCCAGTGAGGGTAGTGAAACACTGACATGGGTTGCCCAGAGAGGGGGTGGAGGCCCCATCCCTGGGAACATTCCAGGCCAGGTTGGCCGGGGCTGTGAGCAACCTGATGTGGTTCAAGGTGTCCCTGCTCCTGCAGGGGGGTTGGGCTGGGTGACCTCTGGGGGTCCCTTCCCACCCAAACCATTCTGTGATTCTATGATTCTAATGACAGCTGAATTTGTGAGGTTTGACTGTTATTGATTGATGGACTCCTAAACAATTTTGGATAAAACTGCTAAAAATATTCAGCAAATTTATGCTTACAGACTTGCTTTTCTTAGTTGCCAGTACTGGTAATTCCCAAATTCAAGGAATCCTTAAAACCGATATAAAAAATCTACTGAATTTATCAGTCAACATTTTCACAAATAAATACCTAGGTAATAAATCCTGTGATTTATTGGACTGTCTTAAATACAGTTGACTCCGGTCGGGTTTGAACGTCTGCTTTTTTTTTTTTTTTAAATAATCTGTTACCTGACACAACTATCACAGGTACTTCTTGCCTTCCAGGTCTTTACAAGAATGTTTTGCTTCCACCACATTACACGTTTGTTTATTCTCAACAGAAATGGTTTTAAATCAAATTTAACTGAAGATGACCCGACTGAAAAACAAAAGAAACCCATGGATAGCGTACCTTGGGTGTGCTTCCTTTAATAAACTTTTTGATTGAAGACAACAAGCCCGTGTCATTTTTCTGTGGTTTTCCTCCGCCAACAGGTAAGCTCTCTTCCACCTCCGAATGTTTCCTCTTCGCCCTCAAAGCACGCTGTGTGTGTATTTGATTCGACTGCTGAGAAGCTTTCCGCGTTCTCAGCCTCATTTTCATGTGTACCACATGTAAAGCTATAAAAGGAAAAAACAAGAATACTTAGTCATTGAAGAAACGTATTAAGCTTCAGATCATGAATTCAAAAAATTATGTAACACTGACAGTGTTCTGATGCACTGAGCTTTTACATCCATATATACGGCTTAATTTAAAACAAAAAGAGCTATTTAAGTTAAAGCATAACACTGGCAGAAGAACAAATGAATATAATCTGGCCATGGATACATCTAACCATTAAATCAATGAGGTTTTTGCATAACCCTCCAATCCGAGTAGTAGGAACAAAAAAATCTACCTGCTTTTAAGATGAAAAGGATTGCATGGTGCCTGGTGTCTTCAGCATCAAATGACTAGACTCAATGACCTAGGCAGTCCTTTCCAGCTCTGTGTTCCTCACAATACTTCATTCTAAGTCTCCACATTAAATTTGAGATGAGGCATAAATCTAAATTCACATCAAGTGTTCACAGAAGAAGAAATCATAAATGAGACTATGCATTAAATACGGGTGAGGATACAGCAGCTTGACAAAGGAACCCAAGATTGATCTTCGATACAACCGTATTTGGGAATAAGATTAGACCACAGGAAGACTCATGCAAGGACAATATTTATTAAAGCAGAGTAAAAGGCCATTCCAGGGAATGTGTGCCATTTATCTCCAACCTTCAATTGGACGGCTGGTATAGTCAAATTTGTGCATACATATAACTGCTTCTCTGGACCGAGGGCTATGCCTTCTTCAGTTGACTGGAGGTCGTACTTGGGTTGGTTTGAATGGGACTACTTGCCCTTAAAATTATGCATATACTGGATCAGGGGCAGAAAAAAGAAGTAGCAAGAAATCCATCTGAGTAGTAATGCACAGAAATACTGGTAATAAAGTGATATACATTTCCTAGCCGAAGTCATGACAAAAAGCATTTTTTTAAGGGAAAAGCATATGCTTATCACGAGCAGAATCAGCATTGGCTTTTCTGAACTTCATTTAGCATGTATCTTATTGCTGAACAGACAGGATAAATAACCTGTAACATTTAAAATGTAAGTAACAACAGCTGTCTTGTTTAGCAAAAGGCAACGATGGCACTGGTATGACTCACAGGCATAGAAATGCTGTGATAATGTGCTTCAAAACCAGTCCCAAAACTGTCCACAGTTGCCTTTGAGATTGATCTATCTGCAACCAATCTCAAATGAAAGGTGTTCCAGCTAATGAGGAATAACATAACTACCGACACTATTTTTAGAAGACTTAGCAAAAAGTACTCAATTGGCATTGTCAAGAGTGAAATATTTTAGTTACATATAGTATCTGTTTTAACGCGGGATTCCCCCAGCAAACGTGGGACTTCATTTTTTGTACGCACATGTCCAGCATTTTCCCTCAGTAGTTAATAAAACAACTGTTTACAGGCAAGGAAAATCTCAAACGACTGAAGTAACTAAAGCAAAAGTGGACTGGTGGGTGAGGTTTGAGGAAAGACAACAGAAACGGCAGCCTAAATTTATAAAAACTGGTTCCTTATAATCTTGCGCCCTCTAGTAACAGAAGCATTAAAACTCCAAGCCCATGAGAGTACCCTTTCGTTATTAGTATTTGGAATAAAATTTACATTTCATTTAAAAGAATCTACTGTATGTGGAAAAAAGTAATGCAGAGAAATAATAAAAAAAATCCCCAAAGATTTTAATCCAATTTTCTGTTCCTACTCCTTGCCACTAGAAAAATAAAAAGATAAAAATAACATTCTTATACAAAGATGTAAAATAAATGCCTGTTATCAGAACTTGCATCTCAACTTTTCTTTCTTACAAACCGCTGCCAGATTCATTTTTTGGGTATGATTTATACTGGGAAGGATCCACAACAGATATATGCTCCTATCGTACTTCTGTACAAATCAGCAGGACCTCATTATTAAATTGAAGAAATTACCAAACAGCCATGGACAGGATGGTCCAAAGATACCTTAAAACGTGTAATGTATTTTCACTTCAGAAATACCGAGGAAAACATTATTTTTTATCAACATTATGCGGATTAAATCATGTGCTTTAAGTTAGAAAGACTTACCAAAATCATATTATCCTAGGTGGCTGAAAAAAGAACAATTACATTTAAGGTTTCTCAGTGTTCTTGTATGTGGGAGATGAACTAATTCACAACCCCAGCGGGAAGTACAGCCCGAGACAGAAAATGGCCATTAAACTTTTAAACCAAATAGTTTAAATATTTAAATCTTTCAAGTTGAATAGTTAGCAATGTTGGAATGAAGTTAGCGAAAAACACTGTTTTGCCATGTTAAAAATATTCTTAAAACTCTCCAAGGAGCTCTAGTCCTTCCATGCTTTGGAAAGGGAATTTTATTAGCAGTATTATCAACCTGTTTAAGAATTGATTTGGATGAATTGTAACTCTCGGAAATTCTTCCATCTGTATATTGCAAGGAGGCACGTCTTAGATCACAGACCGCAAGCTCTAGGACAGAGGAGTGCAGACAGCAGAGTCAGGAACACTTCAACCATCCCAGCTTCCACTGGTTTCAAATGGGTATCAACAGCCCCAGCAAGCGAGGCTCCCTCACACTCTGGCGTGCCAGCCAGCCAGCCCTGTGCCAGCCGGAATGTTCTTTTGTGGTATTCCACAGGTTGAACGGATTTGTGTTTGCAATCCTTCCTGCCAGGAAGCCCTGGAAGCCAGGCACAGGAACAGAGCAACGAGGCAGCCTACACCCATGATGGTCCCTTGGGTACAGGAAACACGCTTGTGCTGAGAGGTTGAGGAGAAGTGGTAAAAGGGGAATAAAATCAGAAAGATACAGGAAAAAAGGTACAAGGGAACCTAGTGGCTTGCTCCTGCTCCCTCCTCATTTCTTTCCCACACTCATTTCAGAGTTTGTCTCCTCTTCAGAGACCAGGCTAGCTCATGGAGCTAATGAAAAAAAAAATTACTACATTTTTATGCCAGTTAAATTATAAAGGGAATCAATGGGCATCCAAGTAATGCAACAGCGCAGGCACTGGAGAAGAACAGACAGCACGCCTCACGAGTGGTGTAGCTAGGCATCGCACAGCCTACTGAGCTGGTGTATTTTGGAGAGCTGAGTAGGACAGGGGCCCAACCATGGATGGAGGGAAGCTGGGAGTCACTAAAGGCTCCATTCCCAGAGTACGCACTGGGATCAAGCACAGGGCTCAAAGTGGCCCCGATGTCCTGCAGCAAACAGGCAGCGTGTGCGTGAAGCCAAGCACCGAGTGAGCGGTACGGAGCACAGTCAGTCCCACCGACTGCAGTCCAAGAATCCCCTGATCTCCGTGACATCTGCCAATGTCATCACATTTAGTTTGGAAAAGACACTTTCACATCATCAAGTCCAATCGCTAACCCAGCATTACCAAATCCACCAGTAAACCCCAGCCCTCAGCACCGCCTCTGCCCGGCTGTTAAATCCCCCCCGGGCTGGGGACTCGACCCCTTCCCTGGGCAGCCCCTTCCAGTGCCTGACAGCCCCAAGGGGAAGGAATTGTCCTCCTCTGCTCCAGGCTGAACCCCCCCAGCTCCCCCAGCCGCTCCCCAGCAGCCTGGGGCTCCAGACCCCTCCCCAGCTCCGCTGCCCTTCTCTGGACACGCTCCAGCCCCCCCAGGTCCTTCGGGGAGGGAGGGGCCCAACCCTGATCCCAGCATTCGAGGGGCGGCCCCCCCAGTGCCCAGCACAGGGGCACGGTCCCTGCCCTGCTCCTGCTGGCCACACCACTCCTGATACAAGCCAGGATGCCGCTGGCCCTCTTGGCCACCTGGGCACCCTGCTGGCTCATATTCTGGCTGTCAACCAACACCCCCAGCTCCTTTTCAGCCGGGCAGCTTTCCAGCCACTCTTCCCCCACGCCTGGAGCGCTGCGTGGGGTTGTTGTGACCCCAGGGCAGGACCCGGCCCTTGGCCTTGTTGAACCTCAGTTGGCCTCGGCCCATGGATCCAGCCTGGCCAGGTCCCTCGGCAGAGCACAAGAAGAGGATACCCTAACCTAAACACCAAAGCTGGGGCCTGAGCATTGCTGTTCTTAAGCCTTTTCTATACCGTAATGCTTCTGTGCCGCTCATAACTGTGGTTTCAAGTTAACCAAATTACAGAAACTAATTTTCAATCACCTGTGCTATGAACTCTCTGGAAAGGGTGTATTACATAGAACTGAAATAGTGAGGACTCCCTAAAATATGTATGTTGAGTATATAAACATATACACAGGTGAGATTCTTAATTGTCATTTACCTAGTTCAAAAAACTCTGAAAGGTAAGAAGAGAGTTACACTGAATGAATTCAAGGTTTTAATTGACAGTGGATAACCATTTACCATGGGGAGTTAGGAATTAAGTAAATGAACTCTAAAATATAACAGGATTTAGTATATTCAAAGATGTAAACCACATTCATTAAAATCAAAATCATTAAAATCAAAAAACACATTTTGAGAAAACTGGAAAACATCCTGCAACGTGACTTTATAAAACAGCAGATTTAAAATATTCTGGTGAGAAATCTAAGAGGACTGCCGTCTCCTGGGTAGGAATTAAACAGGACTATACAAAACCCAAGTGTGAGTAAAAAGGAAATAGACAAAACTGTACAACACTGCAAGATGACCGACACTAGTGAAATTGCAATTTGAGCATGAAAATATTACTGAAAATTTGCTATACTACAGGTTGCCTGATTCTTCTAGAACTGAAACAAATGTTAGGCAGACAAAAGATGAACCAATTTAATGTTTGACAATGCTAAGTATGCCGTTATCCAGCAAGGAACCATTCAACTCATCTGCACACTATTGCCAGAGAGTTCTTTGGCTCATTTCACATCCTGGGTATCAAGCCTGGGGTTATAAATATCTCTAATGGACTTAGCAACAGTTACCTACAATCCTCTCAATGACAGAAGTTTGCTTTCCTAATGCTCGACACATTTGGCAGTGGAGAGTTTTTACTTGAATTATATTCATGTTTCTTTTCTGAAG